GTCACAACTTGTCACATGCCTTTCACATTTATTCACATTTTGTCACTTTTATTGAAGTTGTTACCCTAGACAGAAATGAAGCCAGTGTTAATGTTGTTGTTGTAGTTAAGTCATTGTAATGTTTTGTATAATGCCCGAGATAATCTTTCCAGAATACAAGGTGCATATAACCGAGCTGCCTCCTGTTATTAATTTTCAGCCAGAATCCGACCATTACACTTGGTAGCTTGTCCGGGATTATGGCTGAGAAGAAGAGTTCACTTGCCCTGAAGGGTGAGGAACTAGAGCTGTAGGTGTGGAGGTTGGTGTTCAGCGCCACAGAGGAACAGCTAAGAGGGCTGGTTGATATGCTGGCAATAGAAGTGGACAACCTGGATACTAAGTCTAAGTTAGGCCTGACTATCAACTCGGTAAACGTTTGGAGTCACAGGAGACTTCTTGTAAATTTCTATTGAGGGCCATGGACCTGAGGAATATAATATTATTTGCAAGCGAAGAAGAAAGTGAAATGAAATATTCGTTTAGACGAACTGTGAATACCGGTCTGAAGGATCTTGCTGTGAGACAAGGATTCCGTCCAGAGTTATTTTTTTTTAGACGAGGATGTTCTTCTACAGACATTGACGCTCATTGTCGCCAGGGAAAATGAACGCAAGGCTAAACGAGGACATCAGTCCAATGTCAACTTGGTGAAGTCTGTGAATTCAGAGGACGCAGTTGCATCAAAGACTAAGACGGTCAGTGACAGTACTACTACTAGTTCTAATGATACCAGTCTGGTGTTGGAGATGCGAGCATTGCGTGCTGAAGTAACTGAGCTGCGAAACCTGGTGGGTCAGTCTAACACCACTGATAAATCAACAAGTGAGCGCAAGTTTGTGTCGAGGGGTAATATAAAACGCGGTTGTGCAAAATGTAGACAGTCAGGAGTCGATCAGGGGTGTAAACTCTGCTGGAAGTGCGGCGAGAATGGGCGTATAAGGAGAAAATGTCCAGAACTGAAGTCAACAGGAACAGCTGAGACGGGAAACTGACTAGGACTGCTGATAATGGGAAACCGGTGGTCCAGAGATCTTCCCCACATCAAGGTACTGGCGCTAGAGGAACAAGTGGACATACTGTGCATGGTCACAATGTTTGTGTATATTGTCATCAGACATTGACCAATCAGACTGACTGTTGTATGCAACCAGTATGTGCTAAGATACATATCTAGAAGAAGGGAAAAAAACAGAGTGCAAGAGACAGTTGACGAATTAAAGGGACGGGTATATGAACTAAAGGTTCAAAGGGACAAAAGAGAATTTCAAAATTGGTTGGTAAAAGGTGTTTGGTAAGATTGGTGTTAGACGAGAATACGAGTGAGCATGATGTATTATGGGACACAGGGGATCAGGTCAGCTTGGTCAACAGCCAGTGGCTGAAAACACATGTTCCTAACAAACCAGTGAGAGCAGTGAGCGAGTTATTTCAAAATGACTTGTGTCTGAAGAATGCAAGTGGCGATACCATGCCATATCTTGGATGGGTGGAATTTTCAGTAAGTGTATTGGAAAAACATGTAATTGTACCTTTCTTGGTGACAGATGTTGACTTAGAGAATCCTATAGTAGGATACAATGTTATTACCTACTTCCAAGATCGTGATTCATTGGTTTTTCTCTTTAATGTTTTAGACTTTCAGTGTTGAATGATGAGGGAAAAGGTCATATTTGCAATGTTAAAGTAGGGCGCAAGAATATTGCCATTGCAGGAAACAGTACAAAAACTATCAAGTGTCGGGTTCATGTGGGTGCAAATGGAAATCAGATAGCACTTTTTTGTACCAAATCATAGCCATTTGTACGGTGACAACATGCAGATGTCCGATACTTTAGTGAGAGTAACAAAGGGATCAGCTGCCAGCGTAAGTATCCCTGTGAGTAACACTTCCAGTAAGCCCATTACATTACGACGAAGATTCGAACTTGGACATTTGACAGCAGTAAATCAGTTGTAACTTTGAGATGTCCAAATTCAGGTAACGTATCAAAGGGTAGGGTCAAAGCTGACAAATTGTTGACAGGGGCACACGTTGGAGCGGTAAGTACGGAGGATGAGTATGATAAAAGCGGTCAAAAACCTGAAACTTCTAAACTCTGGTAGCCTCCTGTTCCTCTTGATGATACTATTTTTTCCAAGATCAGATTTCACGTGTTAAGGAGTTGTTGCGCAATGAATGTCATGCTTTTTCTCGTAACGATGATGATATAGGTGTAACACCAACTTTAGAACTGGATATAGAGCTGCATGATAATGTGTCTGTTCAGAAGACCTATACCTCAATACCACCGCCATATTGCCGTGAGGTAAACTTCCCCCCGTAAAGGACAACATTTTGGATTTGGTGAATCGGGGATGGATCAAGAAATATAATTAACCTTACTCGAGCCCATTGGTGTGTGTAAGGAAAAGGGACTTAAGTTTGCGACGACATTGGTTATAGGGCATTGAACCAAAAGTCTGTACATGCTCGACCATTTGACTGATGTTCAGAAAGTATTACGTAGGCTAAAGGAATCAGGATTACCATCTCAATGCTGTTTATTTCAAAAGGAAGTGAGGTTCTTGGGACAGCTGGTATCAGGAAAAGGATGTCGGATGAACCCAGCAGACTTGAAGGCAGTAGACAAACTGAAATATGAGATTCCAACTACGGTACGACAAGTGCGACAGTTATTAGGTCTTCTAGGTTACTACAGGAAATACATTCCCAAGTTCAGTAGACGGGTTGGTTGTTTGTTGGAACTACTGAAAGAGACGGAGGAGACCAAGGTGAGGAAGGAAAAGCAGAAAAATTCAAGCAAAAGATCCAAGAAAAGTTCTTGCAAGCAGTCTGTGAAATGGACAGATACTCATCAGAAGGTGCTAGAGGAATTGATAGATGTCCTAACTACCTCGAGTGTAATGGCCTTCCATAGGCCTGATTTCGAGAAACCCTTTATCCTACATACAGACGCTGCACAAGACGGACTTGGAGCAGTCCTGTACCAGAAAAGGGAGAACGGTGATCATGCTGTTATTGCATATGGTTCGAGGACTTTGACCCCTGCTGAAAAGAATTATCATCTTCATAGCGGTAAACTAGAGTTTGTAGCGCTCAAGTGGGCAATTACTGATCGCTTCCGATATTTTCTCTATTACTCTTCTGGATTTGATGTCTACAACAATCCACTTACCTATATTCTGACGTCGGCAAAGCTTGATGTCACGAGACAGAGGTGGGTAGCGGAACTAGCAGATTTTGCATTTAAAATTAATTACAGACCAGGTAAGATGAATGCTGATGCTGACACATTATCCAGAATGCCTATTGATGTCGCAGAATTACAGAGGCAGTGTACGGAAGAATGTCAAAGAGAAGAGATGTCTGCTGTTATGGAAGTAATGGCGAATGTGGAAGGTTTGACTCACTGTAGGCCAACGACGAAGAGAAAAGCAGCTTTCCGAGGGAAAGGATAAAATTCTGAAGAAAGTTAAACTGACTGTAAAAGGAGGGCAGGGGCCAGATCGTAAACAATTTAAACAGGAGCACCCGCGTGTTCGGTCCTGCTTGAGGGATTGGAAAAAGCTTAAGCTTGAAAGAGGAAATGTGTTGATCCGGTAGGTCGTAGGTTCACAGTTCCAGCCAGTCAAATATATTTGCCTTCCGCCAGAGATGAGACCATTGGTTTACCGAGAATTCCATTCTAAGATGGGCCATTTAGGGGCAGACATAGTAGTGGTGTTATCGAAGGAAGGTTCCATTGGCCTTGCATGGCCAGAGATATTACTCATTTTGTGAGGAATGTTTGTAAATGTGTCAAAGACAAGAAGCCCACTATTCACCGACATCCAGAATACAAGGTGCATATAACCGAGCTGCCTCCTGTTATTATTTTCAGCCAGAATCCGACCGTTACATATCATCACTATATGAATTAGTGTAATCGTTATATTATTCGATATTTTATCATTATACCATTCCGTCATCATATTATTCACAAACATCATGATATGATTGCAACATACCATTACATTATTGTACAACTTCGTTATACGTTGGATACGATTCTGACAAGCGTCTCCGCGAACTTTTCACCGGGCCACCTTTCTGCCATGTTACTACTGCCATTTCTGACGGAAAGTGCTACCGAAGCTGTGCATAGTCTTTTGTAAGTATAGAGATATCAATGATGAGGGTAACTGATAGTGGCCGATTGAGACACCTGACCTTCATGTTTCGACCCATCTCTTGAAAACCTGGTATGCATTATAATCATAATATCCAGTTGTGTGTCCCTGAATGAACTACCATGTAGTTGATTCAACTTTTCTTGAAAAAGTTATTCCTCTTTGTTTTATTTCAGTATTTGTTGTTTCTTTTGTCCGGAGATCTCCCACATTTTTCGACTGATCTCTTTGAAACTTAATAGGATATATTATAATGATATGTAGTTGTGTTTCGCTGAACGGCATTTTGCTTCGACTATTTTTGCAAAAGATATTCCCATTTGTTTATTTCAGTGTTTGATTTTTGTCCCGAGATCTCCTACAACATTTCTCGACCGACTTCTTTGAAACTTGGTAGGCTTTATACTCGTGATATCAAGTTGTGTTTAATAAGTAAGAGGCTAACCTCTGAATACTTGTATTCCTCAAACTGTTAGAAAATTAGACATTGACTTTGTAGTGAAAGGTGAGGGTTATATATAGCATGCCACCTAAATATTCACTCTAAGGTGATGCTACTACTAATATATTAATAACCAGCCTCCTCTGCCCCAGCCGGGTTTTAAATCGATCCCATGCCTTGTAATGGAGCAAGCCCGGTGTGAATCACACCGGGGCGATTTTAGAATTGATTGACAGCACATTGGTCCACATCCATAAATAAGGTTGTAGTATGAACTATTTCTGTTGATATCCTGGCTAACTTGAAGTTAAACTTTGCCTAAAATGTCGTTAAATTATACTACTAATAATAATAATTTACAACATTTATATAGCGCCCTATATAATTTGTAAAATTACTCTAAAGTGCTTATCAAGTAAACGTAGCAAGCGTAATCGAAATCTGAATTGACCGCCATGTTGGAGAGTTCGTCTCTTCACCGATATAGGTCAGACGTCCAAATATGGGTGTCATGACCCAATATGGAAATTGTAGTAAACATGGCGGCATCAGTAATAATACTATATTTGCCCATGCATGGCATATATAGAGAGTATAATTGAGATAACATCAGACGTGATCTGTCACGGCGGTCGTTTCTAAAAACAAATCCCCAAGACGGAGTTTGTTCATTTGGTTTTTGCATGGGTAAGGTTCGTTTTTTCAACAATTATGCAATATTTTGATAACATTATACTCATATGAGGCTTGAATTATATGCAATCTTACAGATTAAAACTTTTGATTTTGCTCCATTAGAGAGCATAGGACCACTTCGCAATATATCAGAAAGCTACTTTATTGCAGCTAAGGTGATGCAAATCTTATTTCATTGCAAGATAGTGTATACAACACTATATGACATTCGACGGACGTATATTGTTCCCCCCCGCAGGACTCTTGTTGTACATCGTCGTCCATCTGTCCGAAAACAATTGACATTTTCTACTTCTGTCAGTTCTTAACCAATTTCAATGAAATTTTACATTTAACATTCCATGACCAAAGGTCAACCAAAATTGTAAATTATCGTCACTCCCCACCCCAAGGGGCGTGAGAGGCGGGCCTAAAAGGGTCAAATTGACTGACATTTCAAAAATCTTCTTCTCAATTAAAACCCAGGTATGGTAGAATCAAATACGGTTCTCTTAACCAAAATTGTGACTTTTCTATGACCCCGAATCTTACATTTCCTCGTGGGGAGAGAGTACAATTTGCAATAGAGTAGGCCAAATAAAAAAAATGTGTTTGTTTCTACTAACCCGGCCAACTGACTGAGTAAAAAATAAAATGTCACCAAATACGGAGAACCTGTTATTTTTGGGGTCCTTGAATAGTATCACCCAAAATCCTGGTCAGTCGGATGTTTTATAGTGGCCTGGTTGTATCTTCTTTGAAGCATCCTATTAAATATCCAGACTTGTGATCTCAAAATGGCCTTGCATGAAACCCATGTCAGCACCTCATGTTTTCCAGCTAAGCAGGCGTAGCATGGCGCCATGCCCTATCCTACTTTTCAAAACACACTGTCTCCTGATGTAAATTCTATGTCCTGGCTGTTTTTGAGCCTTTTTTGTTTGTAAAAACTTGCTAAAAGGTTTGTAAATAACCAACAGAACCACATAACTCCACCCCCCTGGCAGCGATGCTGACTTTGCAGTCAGTCACTAATTCATTGTCCTAATTTTGTATTGTAATTAAATTGAATTAATACTCCTGGCCTCCAGATGTAGCGAGTCTAGCGACCAGTCGGCCACGTCTAATATTATCACTGATAATTGATGTGAAATCAAATGATGGAATTATTTTCAAATCAGCAAATGTTTGTGTTTTGCTTTTCTTTTCTAGATCGTGTCTGACCTGGGTGGACCACGAAAAGAATTTTGCCGTTTAGTATTGATGGGCATCAAAGAAAAATACTTTGATCATGATCTTAGGAGTTTGCTCTGTGAAGACCATATGTCACCATGACCACTAGCAAGATATTTGGTAAGACCTTATATTTATTAGCCCGCCTGACTTTCCAAAGAGCAAGAGATTAAACAACTTCTCATTCAAACCAAGAGCGCCAGTGTCATCATATTGGACAAGAAGCCTACAGGAATGATTGACGTGGACCTACTTTCAATGTCACAGGGTTCAAATATGTTATTTTTTTGTTAACAACTTCTGAATAAATGAGAGTCACAGGGTCATGATATTGGGCCTGGAGTATGCTGGAATAAAGGGGCACCAAGATTGTTAAAAAGAGAAATGACCTTGACCTACTTGAAAGGTTACATGGGTCGAATCATTGACATGAAAATGAAAGGCTTGGTCAAGAGTATATGATTCACCTAACAAAGTTTATATATAGAAAGGTAGATTATATGCCATGATCCAGACAGAAATTGAATATTCCTCCTTTATTTGTCTCTATTTATGTTTCAGGTCTAAGCATCCTGCAGAATGGTACTTTACCTACCTTCATTCCACATGATAGTTCTCTGATGAGAAATCAAGTTATTGCTGTATCCAAAATTTGAGGATGAACTTAGAATTTATCAGGGAATTTTTAGCAAAATGATTTTTTTTTTTTTTTTTTTTTTTAGACCACCATCATTGGATTGTGAGCTGTTCAAAATAGCTCATTATCAGTGTTCCATCTGTGTGTATTAATCACTGTGTCTAAAGAAATACTTGATGAATTATTGTACATGTTTGATTTTAGGACTGCCTTCTGAGATCAGCATACAGAAAGCTTACAGCAAGGGCGTTGACACATTATTTGAAGCCGAAGTTTTCAGAGACAAGTTCCAACAGCAGGATCCTAGAGGGAGCAGTATACGCTGCCTTTATGAGATATGTTTGTGAAGTTGCCAGTGAGTTATAACATTGTTTGATGCAGAAGCAAGACTTATATGGTGCTGCTTTTGAGTTGACTTTAAAGTTTTGAATTTATAGATCCATTGCTCAAAAACACTTGTCCAACCTTAACCAAACTTGGTATATAGCTATATGATGACACAGTGTTAATTTCGACACATCATCATTTCTTGAATACTATAAAAACATTATGTTCCAGTGACTCTGGAAAATGGGGATCCTGGGAAACTGGACTTTAACTAGCCCACCATCTGTCATCCGTCCGTTGTCTGTCCGTAAACAATATTTGTTATCGCTATTTCTTCTTCAGAAGTACTGGCAGGATATTTCCCAAACTCCACATGTAGTCTGGTTCCCCTTAGTCCCTAGATGTGCCCATTCAATTTTGAGTCTGATCGGGAAAACAAATTGGCCGACAGGCAGCCATCTTGGATTTTGACAGTTGAATATTCTTATCGCTATTTCTTGAGAAGTACTGGATGGATGTTTCTCAAACTTCGCATGTAAGTTTCCCATAGTCCCATGTTGTGCGTATTCAATGTTGAGTCTGATCGGGAAGTTTGTTATCGCTATTTCACAAAAAGTTCTTCATATTTCATTAAAGGGTTTCCTTGTTATCAAATTATAAAGGGGAAAATTAAAGACAAAAGAAGAGAAAAGTAGAGAAAAGATCAGTCTTACATAGAACCAATAAAGATCATTCAATGGTGGGCGCCATGATCCCTCTGGGATCTCTTGGTTGGGGTAAAAATGTCAAATTTGGTGAATTTTGAGAACAGATAATTTTACAAAATTTGTTGTGCAATGCATAAATATTTATGCATATCAATAACGTAAATAGGGTGCTCGCATACTTTAATTACTTTATCAACATTGAATTTTGTTTGCATCAAAACTCGCTTTAAGTTTTGGGGTGAGTTTTTGGAAGGTTTTCAAGTCCATTAGTATACATCCCATACCCTATGCTATAGGGAATATATATAAAATCATTAGAGGTATATGTATGATAAAATGACAGCTAAATTGTATTTGCTTCACCATCTGTCTGTCCTTAAAAAAATCTTGTTATTGCTCTTTCTTGAAAAGTACTGAATGGATCATTCTCGAATTTCATTGTAAGTTACCCTAGGTCAATGGTTGTGTTTATTTAAATTTTGTGTCGCCTGCGAAAAGCTGGTGACATATAGGTATTGCTATGTCGGCAGCGGCGGCGGCGGCGGCGGCGTCCGCACAGCGGTTTTCGTGAACTAAGCAAAATAAAAAAATAGAAAATAGAATTATTGAGATAAAACAAATATGGTTTTTTTCTTCTTTTTTTTTTCTTCACATAGTAACCAGTATATATAAAATATATTTCAAAATGGAAAGCCATGTGTTTATACTCATTTGTAAATAATCAAATTTTATATATTTTACAACATATATTAATATCAAAAACTGGAACCTTCATTCAATACAGTAAATATTAAAAATTATTAGTTGAATAATTTGTAACACCAACAAGTCCTCCATCACCACTCCTACTCCAGATAATAATAACTGGGCAGCACTAAAATGTCCATGCACACCACCACTGTGTGCTTACCGAGTCATTGACAATCCAGAGCATGAGCCGTGTTGAAGGAGTATTCATGTAGACATGTATACATACGCATTGGGACTATAATTAACAGTTATTTCATTAAATCTGTTAGTAGACTCAATATATTTCTGAACACATACACAAATAGCAGAATTATGATCATGACTAGGGTGGCTACTTCCCCTAGTTAGTATATTGATATTATTTACTAAATGTTCAATCAAGTTTAAGTCAAGATTTAAATGTAGGTTTAGTTGAATGTTAAGCTGCAAATGAGACAGAGAATCTAATAGGTTTTGTCTTTGGATTATATACCTAGGGCAGTATAGAAAGAAATGATCCACATCTTCGTCATGGTTGCCACATATACAGGATGGGCTATTAGTAAGGTGGTCTCTAAAAAGATCAGAATTTAATTGACTTGCCTGGTTTCTAAGTTGACATAAAATGACGTTAAAAGATCTAGTCCCTCCATATTTAAAAGCATGTGTACATGTATCCTCAGCATTAGGAAGAATGGGATGATGGACGAGTTGCTTTTTAAGTTCGCTTACAGACCTCAAATTATAATAATTACAATCAGATCTATTCCAACGAGACATCATACTAGGAAAAAAACTGTTAAAGTATATACTAGTTCTGCAAATGGGTGTTTGAAATACACGTTGATGTCGAATATCATGAGTCACTAAGTCATTGTTTATAATATAGTGTTTTGTGGAATAATTGTAATCAGACAGAATCCGATCTTCTTGAATCCATCCAGCTAGATGCTGCTAGAATAGTTACTTGATTACGTAGGGGTACTAGTCATGCTGTCATTTATAATGAACTAGGATGGGTTACACTTAAGGAACGCAGAAATGACCAGCAACATATGCTATTTTTTAAAATAACATTGAACCTAGGTTTGTATATCATTCTAAAGATTTCCTGTCGAGTTTATACTTAAGTGATCTGAACAGATTCATGTTTTTTCATAAATAAAATTGATGTGGTCTGACCATGATCCATGACAATTAAGAAAAACTCCAAGATGTTTATGCTTTTTTACGTTTGCCACAATGTTGTTTATGAATATAAGGTCAGTGGAATTCTTGTTGAACTAATTGTGAATAATAAAAAGGCCAATAGGTGACCATTATCACTATTCCTTTAGAAGTATTGGATGGCTCATTCTCAAACTATATAGGTTCCACGTGGTCCCTAAGGTACAGATCCAATTTTGGAATTGATCTGAGAATCATCAAGAAGTAATGGATGGATTACATAACCCTTGGTCATCCAGTATGAATATTGAAGTGATGATTAGGCCCACATGATGTAGCAGAACTAATGTAAAGCATCTGAGATTGTATATGAAAGCACTGAAGATAGTTTATACTTTGGGCATGGGTCGATCTAGGTGAGGTGTTATGTCCTGTACCAAAAGTAGGTTATAATGTTTGATACTTGCATTCGCCTTATTGTCAAATACGAATTTTACACCTATTTTCTCTCTTTTTTAGGTGGAAGAGGAGGTGTGACATTATCACAGATTTTGGAGTTTGTAACGGCAGCCAGCGAGGAGCCTGCGTTGGGTTTTTCCATTGGCCTTTCTATCGAATTTGTAGTGATGAGTACCAGTTTCATTCCAACTGCTGTATATATCTACCAAGATAAACGACAACAGTGAAATTGCCTGAAGATGAGCAATTGTTTAGCTTGTACGACTACGCGTTCCAAAATAAATATTTTGGAATACTATAAGGCAGTGCATCTTGGCTGAGAAACGTTATACATATACCTGTTAATTGACTGTTTTTGAAGGACAAACAAAAATGTCATTATTTGATTTTCATACATTGTTGAAGTGAAAAACAGAAAATCTGCTTTGGCATTAAAACTAAAATATGCAGTTTTGTAATGCAAGGAAGAATTAATATACAATAGATTATAATTATTTGTGAGAAAAAAGTACTGATTTCAATAAAACTTTGTAGTGATGTACTTGTGGTAATGGTCTGTGTGTTTCTGCGTTGACAGGTTGTTTGTCGTCCATCTGTCCATTATCAACTCTTTTATACATACAAGCCTTTGTCAGTCATCCAAGATTATACAGTACATGTTTATCTGTGGTCAATTAGATCAAATTGCATTATATATTCAACCAACCAACTTTCAGAATCACCAGACTAAGGTAAAATCAGTAATAACCATACCTGTGGTAATGATCGGATTCTGTACTCAAAAAAGTGTTTACTCTTGATGTGGCAGCTGAGCAGGGAAATTGGGTAAAGTCAAGGTTATCTTGGCTACAGTTACTTGGGTGATCATTAAGACCCATAGGCCTCTTGTATTTGAAAAATATTGTAAGGGTCTGGGCAATATATTGTTAAATCAGCCCACATGGTTAAATGGGATTTTGTCAGAGGGAAAAGCTCCTAACAAGCAAAATGGGTGCAGGTTAAGCTACAAAATTCTATCATACTAGAAATTGGAAATCTTGAGTTTATGTGGATGAGGCAGTAATTAGATATTTCTGAGTATATTGTGACAACTAACAAGACAGTACTCACTGTGAAGCACTGATTGTATTAATGTAACATCAAAACTAACTTTATTTCAAAATCCAGGTGTCGGAGTGATACTGGCTCATAGGGCATCGTTTTATATACTTATTCTACATGTATATAGTTTGCTCTACTTTTATCATACCAGTAAGGCCTATTGTTTTAGCTTTTCCTAACTTTTAGTTGATATATTCCATGTGTCACTTTAAATAGCTAAAGCTTTTTTATGACAATATTTCACCAATCTGAAGTCAACAAGTAATTATTATGAATTTAATTTTCGACAAAAACGTTTGCTTAAAGGACATCACTTGAACTTGTATGTTTGAAGAACTTGTGATTTTATATTGATATCATTTGTTTTTAATAGAAACTATAGTAACATGGATAGAAATTTAGAGTAATGACATTTGGAGTAATAATAGTTTTTATTATACGCCCGTCGAAATTCAACGGGCATATTATGGCATTGCGTCTGCATCCGTTCGTCCGGTTAAAATTTTGGTGCAAGTTTCTACAGTGGTCTACAGTTCAGTCAGATGATGTGTTATTGTCCTAATTTTTGGCATGGATGATCTTGTTGGGTCTTAAAAGGACAGTATGGGTTTTTTTTCGTTTTTTTTTATGTGTTTGGGACTTAATATTCCACAGGCGATTTCTCGGTTAAAGTTTTGGTGACATGACACTGGCTACCAGGTACTTTAAAATATCAAACAAACAAAAATTCATTGGAAAGGCGTATTATTTGCATATGTTTGCGTTGTTATAATTATACCCACTGCAACGAGTTTGGGGGGGGGGGGGCATTATTCTGGAATCACCCTGTCTGGTTGTCTGGATGTCTGTCTTTCGTAAATCTTGTCCGGACAACACTTCCTAAACCCGTGCACAGATTTCACTGAAACTACACAAGAATGTTCGGTTCGGGACCATGTGTAAATGTGCATGCAGGGTTTTTCCCCCGAAAAGTTTAGTTGCCATGGTAACCTGGTCACTTTTCAAAGGTTTTGTGGTATGGCCAATAGCTCATCTGTCTTTAGATCAATTTCATTCAAACTTGATCAAGTGGTGTATCTTATTAATGTCTATAATTTATAAGGTGTTACCAGAAATGTTACTATGGAAGCATAATGGAAGCTTCTGATTGGTCGAAATGGAGATATTATCTGATTTAAGCTGAAAATTGGTATGTAAGGGGCTTAAGGGATAGCAAGTACAGTGGTACTATTTTTCAAAACGATAGCTGTCATTTGGTTGCCATGGTCAAAAATGATGGGTAGCGAGGGTATTAGTCATTGGCTTACAGTTCTAGTGGAGTTTGTAGAGTATAGGGAAAGGATGCTAATATTTCTGCTTCCAGTTGCAGTACATTTTTGATGTTTTAAAAGATGAGTATGAAATTATTAAATTACCCGAGATCAAGGGTATCATCAAGCGACCTGTTTTGATTGGATTCTGTCGGTCTTCATGCCTTGTGTGTTATTCCTAAACAAATGACTTTTTTTACTTCTCACAAACCCCTGTATCCATATCATTGAAACCATCCATGGCCATAAACCAATGCAAACCTAAGCAAAGACTATGTGCTCACCGCATAAGATAGTGCCATATTTGTTATTACCAGATATCGTAGTAGCAATCCCTATATTCGTGGATTGAAAGGTTTTTACGATGATGCATGTAGAGTGCCTTAGGAAAGCTGTAAATTTCCCACTTAACTTCTTGCAACCTGTGATATGGATAAGATTTTTTTAAATATTTTACTGTCAGTAATTATTTTTTGTTCAGGTTGAATATTACTATGGACATTTTTTTATCATGTTAACATTTTGACCCTGATATATCCCAAGGGCCATACAGGAGTAAAATTGACCGAAGTTTAATTGATTTCCCAAAAGGAGAACTTTGATAGCTAAAATTTGGCTTTAAATGCTTTTTGATTTTCTCTACGGACATAGAGTTACCAACTGCTTATCGTAGTAGTCAGATGACCGTTTAGGCCCATGGGTCGCTTGTTGATATATATACATGTATGTACATAGTACTTTGGATTCACTTGTTTTGTGGGTACTACATGAGAATAAAAAAATATTTAGAATTGATCAATAAAAGCTCAATTTTCTTTGTACTAAATTTATGTGTATTGATCAAGGAACCAAAAAGTTTCCACAAATGATCATGGTGTTGCAAAGAATGTTAAATATTCCACAGAAATTGATATATCTTCTGTTTGTTCTAGATGTGTCCAGAAAATCTTATAAAGAAACAAAGAATTACTGGCTATTAGACATCATTATTTAAATGAACTGGTGTTAAATGTGACTTCAGTTGCCAAATGTTGGTAGTTACCAACATTAGTAATTATCTCTATTTTGATCAATTAGCTATTGCCATAAACAAGGACTAAATTAATCCTGAATGCATAACAGTATATTACCGGTATATAAAAAAAAAAACATCGCAGAAAAGGTCATTGATTAGACAGATCGAACAAACAGTAGATATTTGGAATATAAATCTTTGTACTGATTAATATGTATTTCAGCCATTTCAAGTGTGTTCTATACAGCGAGTTCACTTGTTTTAAATGTTGGGAATCAACTTCGGGTAAATTATGTGTAGATATCTAGGAAGAACTTTACATTAGTGCCAATATCTTGAGCTGCTTCAATTTGATTCTCCTATTTCTGAAACCTTGGCAAATGTGATTTATTTCAACCTTGACAAGCATGATTCATAAAAATATACAAGTAATAGATTGTCTGTAAAATAATTGTTTTTTTTTATTCATATTCAATTAATTTTAGTTTAGTAGAATGGCATAAAATGTCAATGGTTTGTACACTGTATTTGATAACAAATAAAGTGTGTTCATTACATTGTTCATTTTCTTTTATTGCTTGTAACTAAGAATTTGCACATATTAAGGTGCAAGTATGGCTTAAAAAAAACAACACACTTTGAAATCAATTTTATACAAAAAAGGGGCATAAACCTTAATCATTACAATATCAATATTATATACCATATCTCAACACATTTTCATTTGCCCGTCAAAAAAATGGAGGGTCCGTCTCCCCTGGAGGTGGCGGGGCCCAAAAGGGGAAAAGAGGAATTTCTGCGAACTCTTCATTTTGCTCTATCATTATCATCTTTATTTCCTCCAAAATGAGGAGCATGATAATATATAATACATACATTGAAACAATAATTATACATGAATAATACATTCTGTGCAAAGAGCGACAATCATGACGTACATACACTGTACACGTATGCAAAGATACATAATTAGTTTATCTGCCCAGTAACCTGTAAGCCATGTAATAATATACAATTATATAGGAATATAGGTACCGTTACTTTGCCTATATCCGTATAAGAAAAAGTTCATATTCTTTATATTAAATTGTATTTGTGTTACATTATTACCGCTACCGTTATTATGCACACATGTCAAACAGTCGTTTTATTGTATACAGATGCTAATCTAAATTCCACCAGAGGCAAAGGTGTGGGGCCCAATCAAATAAGTCAATTGGTCATCAATGTTGAGTGCTTTTCAACTTAATTTGCTTTGAATCTTATTTCGAACCAGAAAGCTAAATGCTAGTTAAAGGAAAGTGCAAGTGCAATACATGGTAATGTGAGGTAAATCCCAAAACGGGAAAAGTATTTATAATATGTGTATATAACTTAAAGTGCTCTGCCATAATCACTAAAATATCCAGGTGAGCGATGCAGGCCTCATGGGGCTCTTGTTTAGTTCTTTATTTTTGAGACCAAACCTTTCCTTAAATATGAAACAAACAGCCTCTCACTTGAGTTACATCATTTACTGTTGTATAAATAAACGTATCCCTCTCAAAGAGGTTTTATAATCGTCAATTCTAAAATTCACATTAATGCGAGGAGAACCAACTTCCTGTGTCAATATCTGTATGCATCGGTCATTAAGTTCTGATAGAGGACTAAATATGGGCCTTTCATTCTGCGCTTGTTTCTAGCGGAAAATCAGAAATTGAACCCTCTACACCATAGTCCTGTAAGTCATATTCATCTACGTCAACACCAACTGTGTTTTGTAATTGCCCAGCAATCCACAGCGCTTGTGGGGACGTCTTTACAGTTCTCATTCTGTGAGCATCCCATGCATTGGTCCATACACATAGCCTTATGTTAATTTCATCCATATATATATATATATATAATGAAGGGCTTGTAAATGAGTACCGCCCAAACAGTCCGAAATCGCTTGATCTTCCATTCAGTAAAATAAATTGTAAAACAACTTAGAACACCTTCGTATATATCGCGCCACAAACGTTCAATACGCTGATTGTGGGTACTCTTCCCTGTTATCATGCCAGTTAATCCTCTGTTTGACAACATGTAGTTTGCCACATTCACACTTTCTAGACCTTTGTCTGAGCGGACTTTGTTTGGTGTTCCATATTCGTATACACCAGATAAAAAACATTGACACACAGTTGCAGTTTTGTTGTTGTCGTAGCATTTCAAAAACATGATCTTCCTACTAAAACCGTCGATACCGCCTGCTACTACAAACCGCCACCGAACAAGCTTATGATTAGTGTCTATGTGCCACAAGTGATTAGGTGCCATAACGTTGTACACACGTCTGCGGAGCCGTCCTTTCCACATTAAGTTCCAAGTTTCATCATGTTCGAAGAATTTGGTATACACCGTACCTATCATTTCCAGCTCAAATGTAGACTGTTTTCCAACAATGTCAGGTGTTATTTTCTCCTTTTTGAAATCATTGCATGTATGGACCAGGGCAAGTTTCTTGAGTGTTTCCGACATCTGTCCGTCTCCCATTTTGGCTAAGCATAAGGACAAGCATACTAACTTTAAAACTACAGCCATACAATTACAGAACAATGAATGATGAAGCTACGCTATAATATAGATAGTCCGTCACCAAATATAACGATGTTATCTCCAAATACAAGAGGCCCAGAAGGCCTATATCGCTCACCTTGATATCTAAGCAATCATTGCAAAATATTCTCTAAATGTGATCCAAGGGAATAGGCCAGACCCAAAGGCCAATCCTTGTAGCATATCTGTATTAGATTTTCCATGCCCAGCAATTTGATGTATGGTAGGATTAGGAGTTGCGTCCCTTGGCATGGTGGACATACTTTTCAGAAGTGTGACAAGTTGGTTAGCATTTTGTTGTTTTGAACATTTTGTGATTTGAAGTGGAACATTTGCCGTGCCGCACTGCATTCTAACTATTGTGGACTTGTTATATGAACCCAAATTATGGAGTCTGACCACAAAATTAGTGTGTTGGAGGCCGATCCATTATCACAACAGAACTCGTCCCATTGTACGGTAATGCATATGGCTGCACCCAAGCTTGTGTACGTGTCCGACAACTTTACCAGCAATAAAGAGGATAACGCACACCTGCCCAGTAACAAGGTGTGCGTGTCGACAGCGCTCATACATGACCAACCTGTACCCCACCTAACAACACTTTCCGACATTCATGAATCTACACACATAAACAATGGTGTCTTCAATACACCCAGGAAACGTGTTCGGTCAGGAGAGGACGATACGGTAGAGAGTAAAAAACGCAAATCTCTCAAACCAAAAGGTTTTAAACCGAATGCGACTAGGATTAATAGAAAAGGTCTCCGCTCGTCCAATAAAGTAAATAAAACCGCGACGAACATGGAGAAAGGTGACCCAGTCGTAAGTACGTGTTCGAATGTGCCCTCAGTTGAGAACGGGGTGAACAG